AAATGGAAAATTATACGATTGGTAAGTATATTAAATATTTTTGATTTCATGCATTTCTAACATTTTTATTTTCATAACCATTTTTCTAATACAAAAATTATTTTTTGGTACCTACTGAACATATTGACTTTTAACTTTTTTATTAAATTGATAATTTGTGTGTTCAGCTGTTTTAATTTATTTACAATACGGACTAATTTTTATTAAACCTGGCAATTTCGTAATTCCCGAGTTATTGACCGTACCAAAATGTTGTGCGCAATTTGTAATTATTTTTAAATACAAATYCAACATTTGTTAACACTCTCTTTTAAYTACGCAACACTTACTAATTGCAAGTGTTACAACGCCTTATCTTAATTTCTGTACTATATAATGTTAGTCGATACCTAACCAACAATTTGAATAATTATTAAAATATTTATTTATATAAAATTGCTGGTCAGTTAAAAATGATTCCAAATGTACGCTATTATCRATAATCTCARATTGAAAATTATTAATTAATATACAGAAGTTTATAGGTGAGATGCCACCTTGATCGCCTCACCTCCATTGACACCGTAGGATTTTAGGTTAAGCAGCAGCTAAAACGCCTTAAACTATATAAGCCTGCGTACAGACTTCAGACTTGTACTTGAGTTTTTATTCGGTATATTTTTAATGTGATTGAATTAGAAGAGCTATTTTTACACTTAAACCTATATAGCCTTATTTATTATTTGTTCATGGTTGACTTAATTTTTAGGTTTAATTACAAGAGGGATGACTTACAAATGCGATTTAATAGACTAATACAAAAATAAGTTAACAGTTGTTAATAATTAGCATACTCACATGGTATTTGTAATACTGTTAATTTAAGTGAACACAATTAAATTCTGACATTGCTGTATTATTGATAATTGAAAATCTATTAAGAACTATTAACACTTTATAAATGTATATATATTTTTTAAGTTCAATAGATTAAAGACCTTCACAAATCAAAAGACAACCATTTGTYTATTGATTATTATGATTTGCTGTGCGCTAACCTATCATAATCGAGTGCTACAACACGAGGACAAGAACAATAAAGACTTGGACTTGGAAGATTAACCGGAAATCGAAAATTCAGATGAAAATTTCAATTTCATTTAATATTAGACTTAAAATAATGTAAAAAATAAAGATCA